CTGGCCGTTTGCCAACTCAATCCCAGGCAAAGTGGACACGATACGCAATCCCAACTTACTCAGGCAGGTTCGATCAATCAAGGAGTGCGAAGACCCTGGGTCCAAGATGACCCGCTTCACGTTCACCCCATTCAGGAAGCATTTGGCATGCACCCCGCTGTGCTCCCGCGCGGCTCGCCCCAACGCCTCAACTTCCATCTCATCCGCAGGTTTAGGAGGCGGTACCGCTTTCTTCCGGGTGGTTCCCAATAGATCCCGAATCGCCAGTACAAGCTGGGTATACACTTCGCGCTTCGACAATCCTTTCATCATGCCCACTGGAATCACGCAAGTTTTCGCCACATGTTCCCGCCACTCATCCTTCAAAACAGGTCGCGTACGCGGGCGTCGCACTCCGTCACCCTTTTTGCGTTTCCTACCATTTGCCATTCGAGCTGCGCCTTCCCCTTCCCCATCACTCCAATCATCGCCCGAATCTCTCGCGTCCGATTCTCCTTGCCCCCAACCTGGTTCCATCATTACTTCGTCATCGCCCGCGCGTGCGTGCGTCAATATCGTCTGCGCCAATCGGCCGTACCGCGGGCCACCCTGACCCAGTCCCCTTTCCCGACCGACTGGGGCATCACGAGCAGGCACGGGATTCGGCCGCCCCCGCACACCGTCTCTCATTGGACCTGCTTCACGTAAAGTGTCCGGCGCGCGCTCTCGCGGAGGTGCTGACGCAGGTGGTAATCGCCTCCTGCCGGCTTCCCCCTCCCCATCGCACTGCCACTGAAAGTGCCCCAGCCCTCCACACTTCCAACATTCGGGGCCCGGCCTCCCTTGTGGACGCGCGCCTCGCAGTGGTTCCGCCGCCTCCCCCCGATTCCCCGCACGCCACGCTGGCTGCGCGCTTACTCCCACCGGGGCGGCGGCCGGCTGCGCGCGCGGATTGCGTGAGGCCGATGCGCCCTCCGCCGGCGCGGATGTCCGTCGGCCCCGCGCTCGCAATGCCCAATTTCCCAAGGCATCCAATAGGTCGCGACTCAGGTCCGCTGGCGGCGGTGCGACTTGTTCCAGCCCTGTCGCGTCCACCTCGCGCTCCGCACTTTCCTTACGCGTGGCGATCTCCGCAGCCTCCTCCAACGTTCCGAACCCCTGGAATCTCACTACCTCCCTCAACGGCGCTCGCAACCCGCTCACCCATGACCGTGTCCAAACCTCCTCCGTGGCTTCCTCAGAGCGCGCCACTAACTCTCGGAATCTGCTCAAATAAGCCTTAACTCCCTCGCGCGGCCCCTGTTTCAAGGCCTTGAGCGCCGCATTGACGCGATCCTCCACATCCTCGTCTTGAAACCGCGCGATGAACGCCATTTTGACGTCGTCCCATGACCGATCTTCCCTTCCCAACCAGCGCGCCCGCGCACGCACCCACCGAGTGGCTTCCTCGGTAGTGCTGACCGTGAGTAGCGCAATTTTCTGCGCGTCCCCTTGAATACCGTTCGCCACACAGATTCCCTCGAAGTGCAGCAACCATCCCTCAACATCTTCCGATGGGTCTGCCCCCGAAAACGTGCGCGGCAGTAACTTCATGCTCGCGGACCCCGCGCGACCCCCGTTCACTTCTCAACTCCAACCTCCAGACTGCTCACTTTCCCTTCCCTCGACTCCCACACGCTCAGCTTGACAGAATCGGTCCCCTCGCTCACGAACGTTCGATCACTTCCGCCCAATGCCAACATGCACCCCGCACTCTCGCCTCGTTTACCCACTCTCTACTTCCCTGCTCGGCCCCTCCGCCTCGCTGCTGATGCCGTTGCTGTCGAGCAACCGCGCTCGATCCACCTCCTCGTACGCGCGTCCCGGCGATGGAACCAGCTGTACGTCCTTGTTTATGCAAGGTAGCGGGGATCACGCGCGATGGACCAACGCTTTGCTCTCTCGTTGCAGAGCTCACGCGCACTCAGGACATTTTGAGCCAGTGCCGTCCGCCGCAGGGCGTCGGGCGCAGAGGGGCATTCTTACACATAAGAGCATCCATTTATAGTACAAGTTCCTCGTTCGTTTTTACTTGCACCCTTGCTGGCTCCTTTTCTGTCCGTACTGCTTTCCCTTGCACTTCCCATTGAAACCCAGCATCCCAACTACCCCTTGCCAGCCTGTCCCACTTCCACCCGCATGCTCTACCCCGTAGTCTCCCTTAGCCCTCCCTATTCCTGTCCCAAAGCCATACTAGCGCGAAGTCACCCCAAGCCCGTCCTAATTCCTGTCCCAAAGCCCTCACTACTACCTTGACTACCTTCTCACTGCACCCATCTTCTAAATGACTGCCGTTCCGACCTGCCGCAGGGCCAGGACTCCCTTTTTTCCTTACACATGCATGCATGCATGTCGACATTTGGCCAACAATGGGTGCTTCGATGGCATCTGGAAGCTAACTCAAGAAGTCGCAAAGGCAGGCGCCGATCACGTGGCTTGGGGGTCATCAGGGGGGCGGAGTGTGCCAAGGGAAGTGGCTTGCTGCCCACCTCCGGGACACGTTCCAACCCTCGGCACCAGGGAGGGCTCGTCGCGTTGTACATACACGGGCGGTGTGCAACCGCATGGAGAATGGAACTGCTGCCAAACTTGCGGCTCTGAGCTTTGTGGCTGGCGTGATCACTGGCTGGTACCTCAACAAACTCGCCAGGAAGGTATTGCTGCCGTCTCGAGCCACGTGGAGGGGCTTAGGAAAGCATTTGTGGCCCTCCGCGGAACTGAATGTCATAACGGCACCCCCCGTATGATATGATGAGCGGCAAGGGGTGGTGGAAGATCAGCGATGCTCGCTTAGGATTCCCGCGTAGCGAAGCTGTTGGATTCCCCTTAACTGGTGGGAGCATCGTTCGCTCAGTGTGGCGAGAGAAGGGCGAGAACGGGGCGTTAAGAACAGCCCCACAGCGTTGAACGACAGCACGTGGGTGGCTGCAGATGTTCATTCTGCGGCTTCCACTGCAGGGGCACCCTTCTGTTGTGCTTTGGCTGGTGCAGCTGTCTGAGATCAGATGACAGGCCAATGTTCTTTTCTGCGCTTCCAAGCAGTTGTGATACAAGCATGACTTGAGTTACGTCTTGTACTCCTGTTTTGGGGAACACAAAGTGCTCCTGCTACAAAGTGTTGATTGCCTGTGAGGATATTCCACTGCTGTTGACTACAGGAGCAGTCTGTGTGGTATGTATTGGCTATTCACTGTTTAGGTGTTGTGTTCCTGTACAATGTCTTTGGGCGTGGCATGCACTGAATCCTTCTTGCACTGCTCAGAAATTGAAGAACTGGCTAGAAGTTGTAAAAGACAAGATTGGAAATATGTGAGGCAGACTGGCAATGTATGAGAGCAACCAGGAAAGACGGCAGGAGGTGTGTGACTGAGCAGTGCACAACTGAAGTTCTGAACTGAGGCAGGTGAGTATGCGGCTGGTCCAGAGAATTTGCACATGTGCACAGCATAGGGAAAAGGAGTGCCTGGCACATACGTTTTTCCAATTGTCCTGTTGCAGATCCAGCTTAGCACAAGCTGTTCCAGTGTACGGTGGGAACGGCAGGCCCACATTGTGAATACAGCCTGGTATGCTGCAGCAAGCCACAAGTGCCAGTGTGCGCAGCCCCAAGCATGTTCACAAGGTTTATCAGTGCAAGTTTTGGCAGTTGCTGTGCATTTGGCACTACATTGCTCCCTGGAGACATTACTGGCAGCAAAGTGTACGAATGCAAAAGCCCTTGTTGGATGGATAGCAGTATGCCCTGACTGCCAGAATCTGCAGGAGACATTTGCCACGACTGTCACGATTTTCCCTGATTGGTATTGAGAATTGTGGTGGGAGTCTGGAAAGCACGGTACATAACTGGTGAGCCGCTCGTGCTTTGTTTTCACTGCATCTTTTTCCAGTCAAGTGCACTTGAACAGCCAGCCCGTGGGTTTGCACTGCAGGACGAGGCAATGTATTGCAAGGGAGAAGATGAAAATGGAAGATGGCATACTGTAGAACTGGAGGCACAAGAAATGGTGCAAGAATTCAGCCAAACGCTGGTGCAGACCCCACTAACGTGTGTAGGCCCCCTTGCTAAATGACAGGATTTGTGGAGATGAGGAAGCACTTTGAGCACGATTGTTCCTGCACCATTATAGACGTTGCCGTATTCAAAGGTGGTCATCAGTGACTCCAACATCAAGTTATGAAGTTGGCAAAGCTTGGCTGACTTGGTTTTCAAAGGCAAAAAGACGAGCTGGGTGCTTGACTTGTCTGTACCCTTCCAAGCGAGAAAATTAGACTTGCAGTGAAGTGTGAGTAGTGAAGTGAGCAGTGGATCGCACTTCCAGCATCCTTGTGTAGATAAGATTTTTGTGAACAAGTTCAGACGCCCTGCATTCAACATAACCGTCTGCTCAGAGAGAATGATGGGACAACTGCACAGTGTTGCCTTCAGGACTGCACAGTGGAACTGAGAACCAGACAAGTTCGTTTCACAGCATTGAGAACACACAAGGAACATCTAAAAGCTGGATTTGGTGAGGCACAGTCCACGCGTTGACAGCCTGTTGTTGACGTTAATGGTGCCTGCTGGTGAACACTGCCTGGCAAGGGATTGACAAGTCCGTTTCACAAGCTGTCCATGGCCTTTGACCCCAGGGAGTTTTTGACTTGCTATTGCCTGTTTGCTCAATCACCAAACCAGATATTGCAATTGAAAACGAGCCAGTACAATAGCTTTGGGGGTTTAACAATTCCAATATGTTAAATCACCACACTACATTTTCCTACACAACACCATGTGGCACTCGTACTAGTGGTCTACACGTGCTTCAACAGCACCCAAACTGTACACGGTGGCCTTTCCTTAACTTTCGCCTAAACAGTCCAGAAACAATGTAAAACATTGAACCAATCTGTCTATCTACAAGTGTCTCCACACCGCTGCGCAAACTACAGGAGTTTGCTAGCAATTTTGAAGCCTTCAGTGCCACATCATCGCTCCCAAGGCATCACATTGCATCGTCCTCGAGGCCGTAATCCTCTCCATAGTATTTGTCCACCAGATCGGCTGCCAGCCTCTGCAGATCTTCTGGACCCTTGAACTGCAGTTCCTCAAGAGCAAATATCCCATCCGCCGATTCAACGAGCTTTGGGCCATTGGGGACTACCCTCAGAACAACCTCAACAAACCTGATACCCAAGCGTGCAGCCTCCATATCAGGAGACTTCATGAAGCTCAGAAACGTTTCCAAGAGATTATGCTCTGTGGAGATTACGGATTGAAGAAATTCCACGTCAGGCTCCTCCTTCTCAGAGCCAACACACACATTTGCAAGCGTGAAGGCAACCTCCTTTTTCACGTCGAAAGCACACCTCCTTGTCATGTCTAGCAACACTGGCACGGCTCCCGAATTCTTTACTGCAGAAGGTCCCATCTTGTCAGGGGAGCCCGCTATGTTGGACAGCGCCCAGGCAGCCTCTTTCTGCAGGCCCCTGTGGCTGCTATTCAGGCACTCCACCATGCACCTCACGCCCACCCCGCCTTCCGCAGATACCAAGTCCCTCGCTGCCTGCAGGTCGGGCCCCGCGGCAATGTTCCCTAGGCACCTCAGCACGGGCGTTAGGGTGGCCCTGCTGCCATCCAGGTCCGCCTCAAGTTTGCCCACGGACGACGACAGCAGCCTTATCAATGGGGCCACCACCCCGCTGGCCAGCACCGGCTCTATCTGCCCCGGATCCCTGGAGAGCAGGTACGTCAGCAGCCAGGCCACCTCTGTCACAATCTTGGGATGGTCCAGCGAAAGCATCTCCAGCAGGCGGGTGGGCGCCTGGGGCGCGGCCAAAAGCTGCTTTGCCGCGACCGACGAGAAGCGCACGAGATTAGCCAATGCCCATGATGCCGTGATCGCCGCCACAACTGTCTCGTGGGCGCCTACCCCCCTGCCCACGCTGAACATCAGCTCCGCCAGCGCTCGCACGGCGCCATTGGCCACCAGGGTGTCGCTGAACTCGCTGCAGTCCGCGGCCAGGTTGCCGATGGCCCACGCGGAGACCTCCGCTAGCGGCGCGCCCATCCCGCAGGACAGGTGGGCGATGAGCGCCGGCGACGCGGGCAGCACCGCGGACGCCACCGCATGGCTACCGCCCGCCAGGTACGCCAGCGCCCAGCCCGCCTCCAGGCTGGCCTCCACGGCGTGGGGCCCGGTCGGGCCGGGCTGCAGCGCGGACACAAGCACCGGCACGGCCCCCGCCTCCAACACGGCGCCCGACGCCGACTCCTCCCCCTCGCTGAGCAGCTTCCTCAGGTAGCGCAGGTCGCCCGCCAGCCGGCCGTCCTGGGAGGCCTGCGACGATGCGGCCTGCCGCACGGCCTGATTGACCGCCGTCTGCAAGGCCAGGGGGTCCAGCGACGTGAAGAGGCCGTCGCCGTTGCCGTCGCCGTCCTCGAACACCCGCCTCAGGCGCTTGGACCGGAGCAGCGCGTCGCGGCGCTGCGTGGACAGGTCCACTGCCCGCCGACGGCTCTGCTCCTTCGCCTCCTTGCCCGTTATCCCGGCGCGCCCCATCGCGGGCTTGCGCTTGGAAGACATCGCGCGCTCGCAGCCAGAGAACGTATGGTTTCAACCTGCGGTCTGCGAAGGTCGCGTGCCCTTGGCCCTCGACGGCCTGCTGCGGACGCGGCCGCCTCCCGGACGGAACAGGGCGGGAGGCCGTTCGGGAAGGACACGACATGCGCAGCCCGGCATGGATGCCGGCGCGTCATACCTGGGCTCGTCACTGGGACAGCTCAGGATGCATTTCTGTCACTGGCCCACTCGCCTGTGGGTCATTAGGCCCAACCTAACCGTCGTTGGGGGGGGTCCTGGACCCGACGATTGCCTGCGCACCCCAGCATTACTCCGGCGCGATTGGAATTGCGGGGCCATGTCATGGAATCAGGCAAACTGGGGTGAGCACAGCTGTGATGAACTGTGGTGACTGTGAGCGGAGGCCGGCAGAGGAGGATGCCTATCGCGGCGCCTGCGGCCCTTCTGCCTATGGGCGCCGAGCGTCTGCTGAGGCGAGCGCCCACGCGCCGTGCTTCAAGCCTGAGGTAATGCCGCCAAGAAGCGCTGCCAATGTCATCGTGCCTTGCCGTGGTTATTGAATGTCGAGGGGCGTCAAGCAGCAGAGTGCGTGTGGTCCACCAGGAACGTGCCTGCACCCCTGCTGCGGCCCCAAGCGGGTCTGATAATCCCCGATGGGCCCAGCACGTCGGTGTGCCCTTTGTGCCAAAACACCGGGATAATGCCTTGCCGAGACTGCAACGAGACCGGGCGGCTTCGGCCAGGCGGTTATCACAAGAGGAATCCGCTGAACATGGCGAGGATTGTTGGTGGGTTGCGGACGGAGGCTTTGTGGCTGGGCAGGCCTTGCCTTCTTTGTGATCTTCCGGACCCCATTGGATAAGGCATGATGATCAGGATGGGCCCCATTCCGCACCTCACGCCTTTTTGTTTCGAATGCGTTCACCTTGAGGAAGCGAGTGGGCTTGGTTTTTTGGTGCTGTGCTGGGATGTCCACGGAACTGTTACCGTCTTGGGACATACCAGCGACCAGCGAACATCACTGAGTCACTTTGCAGTGGCGCTGTAGATGTCGTAAAGGATCCCACACAGTTTTCTAGCCATGATCACGTCCACGGCTATCTGCACAGCGGCCTAACAATTTCTTGACCATTGTTGTGTTCACGGTGATGAGCAGCTGAGGGTGAAATAAGTTGCTGTCATGATAAAGCACTTGCTCATCGAGGAGGCAGGTACATCTCTGAAATGTGGCTTGTTCTTTTTGATGTTGCCAGATTCTAAGTGGACTGCACTTGAGAGGACGTTTGGATGGCGGCATTTTCGTGTTACTCAGAAACGCAAGACAGGGAAAGAAACTTTTCTCCTGATGGTGGCCACATGTGATGACACAATACAATTTTGGGTGGGATGCATGCTGCAAGAAATATTGGCCTGCTGTGGTGATAATGCATTGATTCCAGTGATTGCACTGATCGATTGCCTTGATTGTTTCTATTTCTTGTAGGCTGTTTGTCCACAGTGGTGGCAAAGGTTTGCCACCACTGCCTGCTGGCACAAGTGATGTGCTGTTACATGTACAAAGTCGATGCCCACTCCAGCTGGGTGTGTAAGAATGGCTAGGGCATCTTCGAATGTGCTCTTATTCCTGTGGCCATTGTTGGAGACACAACAGCAACAGGGGAATTCTGCAGGAACTCAAGCAGGCCATTCACCAGCTGATTGTCGATTGTTCGGCAATTGTTGAACAGTCAACTATTGAACAATTGTTCTGTGTGCGGCTGCCAAAAGTAGAGAAGGTCACACAGCACCTGTGTCTGGGGATGGAAAGGGCCCACTGCATACTCAAACTGTTCAAATGGGGCCCTCTATTTGATGTCACATAGGCGCTGATGTTTGTGCAGGGCTATCATTTCTCACATGACGTCCTCACTTGTTTTGGGGAGTGGGTGGGGGTGGGGGTGCACTTGCACCATGCATACAACGGAAAAGAGTGAAGGAACGATGCAGTGAAGTGGCAATAATTTGATGTACACATTCAAAGTAGTATTATTCGAGCCATGCATCACAATCAGTCACGTTGTCCTTTTTGCAGTTGAACGCTAAGAATTTGAAGGATCGCACAAGATGGGCTGGAGGATGGCTACAAAAAGGGCAGATGAATGGCATAGGTCAGGGACCCGTATGCAGAAGCTGCAGAGGACAAGGGTTCAAATTTTGTTATTTGTGCTCACCTAAGCGGAAAAAGGACAGCTGACACATGCAGTGTGCCGATGACCTTAGCACAATGGTGAGAACGGTTGCATAAAAAACTGTGTCGTCCTCCTTGCTTTCCTCAGGTCGCTGCACTTATAGTTAGAGTTTAGTGTAGCTGACAGATGTCGACGATGAGTAGGTTCAACTTCCTCTCTTGTTTGACTTGCAGAAATGGAGAATCTTTTCTTTATGGTGCAGCACATCCCATTACTTTAACACTGATTCTTGCAATGCATTTCCTCAGCCAGTTTGGAATTTTTTGATCTATATCTTGAAATGCACATCTTCCTGGGCCGTCATTTGTTGATTGCTGGAGATATTAGCTGCTTCTGGTACCATTGTGCTCAGTATCCAGCCAAGAATAACACCAATGACCTACTTTTCATGGGAATATGTGACGCACCAAGCATGAACCCACCGAAGCATAACCTTGGGATACAGCTTGTCTGCAAGGAAGCCACCACGGTCCAACAGTGTCTTGCTAGACTTGCACATGCATGGTATGGCTGCCAGACGAAGTGACATGGTGAGATGAATCACACCTGTAAATTCTGCACTGTGACACGAAGCACTAACATCCGAATGGACTGACAATGGGAATCCATCATATGTAGGAGAGAAATATGCTGGACAAGGCCTTGGCATCAACGGCGCCTCAAGCTCATTCGTTCACTGATTATTGCTGCTTCCAAGAGCACAGAGGCATTTGCGTCTCAATAAAAAAACCGTCCATTTATTGTGACGACTAGACTGTGAAGAATGCTACAACATCTTTTTCCACACAGGATTCATGCATGATTCCACACTATTCTGCACATGATTACCATTACTTTTACACATGGATGCCACGCATGTTAATATTGTGAAGGTGACGTGTTGTCCAATTGCGAAATAAATGACCAACAAGGGGAATTTAGTGACGGCTGATTGCACTTCAACCATGGCACTTGTGGCATTAGCTTGAGTGAACTTTGATGTTGGCCACTCTTTGGGGGCCATGCGAATATCCGAGCACAGCACCGTAGTTTAACAAACCTTTCTGCATAGTAACGTAACGTTTGACCTTTTGATGGGGAGCAATAATAAAAATGTAGCAGTGCCAAGGATCTGTGGAGCAGACCCAGCTACAACGCGGGCGTCTCTAGACGGCTCGTGGAAACTTGTAGCCCCCAATGCAAGAGTCATTGTGGAGGAAACCGAATTTTGAGGCCATGCGAACTGAGTTGAGTCGCTATTCCGGCGGTTACCATGATGTGGAGCCCCCAAAACAGTGGTCTGTCGAAAATGTGCGGAGAAAAATTTGCAACGCTTTCCGCATGTGGAAGGGTTGAATATCCTACGGTATTGCATTGCTCCTGGAAGGCCCTCAAAATTAGCAGATGTTGCCGTTTGCCAATCGTTTTCATGGGACATGCACCCAAGTCATTCTAGTCTCACAACACAACAAGTTTGGAGGCGTGACCATCCCATTGGATCTGTGGATAATTCTAACAAACGATTGTAGTTGCAACTGCACAATAGAGACTCTTCGGCAATGCAAGCTGCCATCTGGCAAGTGTTTTCTACACTGGCAGGAAAACCCTTCTCTTGGTCCCATAATGTGTAGCATGTATAGAGGGGGTTCTCCTGTTAGACCGACAAGCGACCAACAAGCGACAGTTGTGCAAGTGACACCACCAAAGATTCACGGAAATTGGTTGCCAAGAAGTTTCTGCTTGTAGCTATTTCAACTGGAGTATACGCTAGTAGCGGGCTGATCTGCACACTTGTGCGTTATGTTGGTTCTTGTCGAATCTTCCTCATAATGCCAGTAAAATGAAGAAGATCTTCAAAATTGACCCAGGTTGATAGCTTGGGAAGGCATTGGTCACATCAAGTTGTGGTGACGATCATTTAAAGTGTTTATAGCAGAAGCACTCCATGCACTTGACCAACAGAGCCAGCGGCATGCTTTTGCAGTACTCCCATGTATATGTTGGCTTTGTGATTTACAAAAGATAACAATACATATTCCACCACACTCACCGTAGTACTTAGTGGTGGTCAGTGTAAAACTGGGCATAAAACTACTACCCTCGGAACCCGTGAATTACGTACTGATAGTGCTGCCTAGCCATTTTGTTTAATGGTTGCGTCAGCCGGCAGAGATGAGAAAAAACGTCTTGTAACTAAATATTGTTGTTTGTACTATTCTCCCTATTAGTGCCTTGCGCAAGCGGCAGAAGTTTGGAGACCCAACAATTGATAATTAAATGTTACCCGCAGCGATCTAGCGAGTAATTGCTGACTGCAATTGATGCCACGGGGCGGTTTCCATTGCAAAGACTTCCTGCTCCATATATTGTGCAACCCTTACCTAACAGCCCTGCTCAGCCATTTACGCAAGGAACTCAGCCTTGGGAAAGTCACATCATCCACTTGCACCTTATCTACTACTTCCTCCGTCCAAGATTAGTTGTCCTCTGTTTAAAAGATAAATTTCGTTATCTAAACCGCTTCAAAAGTACTAATACACGTCAGAATCGAAAAGATTGGGTCCCAAAACCCTTGACTACCAATTTTTGTAAAAAAATACCTAACTACCTTTGACGGCCCCCTGAAATTGCCTAAGATTTGGCCCAAAATTATGCATTCTGATTCAGCGTTCGTTGGAGATCCACGTGGTTCTGGGTCGTTCCCGCCCCCGGCATGCCAAACCAAAGTTGTGCTTGCCATCGCAACGAAGGGCAGCGTCCGTCTCATGGTTTAGCGCTTGCCAAACACGCTCCACT